TGTGTGTGTGTGTGTGTGTGTGTGTGTGTGTGTGTGTTTGCGCCAAAAACCAGACCTATGGTACTAGGTGGGGTCATAGAAGCATCACCCCACCTCTTAGCCCTCTGCTGACCGCTCCAATCTATTGGTGGTGAGCCACACCGGCTGGAAAACGGGTCCAGCGTCCCTGATACAACGTATTTCGTAAAGGTATTGGGAGCATTACCCACCATCGCTTCTGTTTCCTTTGCGGCCCGGCCTCTCAGCTGCTTTAGTTGCGCTTTCCCTGTCTTTTTTTTCTTGCATTGCATCTCTTCTTTTCTGATACAGCGCATCCCTTTGTGGGATGTGTGCAGCGGCATAGGCCTTTACGAATCAGGAATGCCAACTGCAAATGGAAAACAAAAATTGTCCTACTGTTCTCCCATCAAATGCGAGGCTGCAAACGCTTCAAGGAAAATGGCCTCCTGACAAATGCAAACTGAAACTGTTCTCGATGAAAACGGCCTACGGACAAATGAAAGCTGAATTCCCATTTTGATGGATGGATGGCGGATGCAGAAGATGATGATGACGATGATGATGATGATGATGATGATGATGATGATGATGATGATGATGATGATGATGATGACAAAAAGGAACACAATGTCGAAGGGAGTAGTAAAGAAGCAGAATAGAGGGGGAAGAAGGCCAGAGGGAAGAAGCAGGAGGGAGAAGGGGGGAGGAGGACAGGAGTTAAGGGACAGAGAGGAAGCTGGATAGAAACAATTGGGCAAAAAGAGGGGGCAGGAGTCTAGATGGGTGAAGCAGCGAGGAGGAGGCAGGAGAGGTAGGAACAAGAAGGAAAGACGGGGTAGGCTAACGGGAGAAGAGAGATGAGGAGGGGGAGGAGGGGTAGGAGGGGTATGGGAGGACAAAGAGGAAAAGGAGAGAGAGAGAGAGAGAGAGAGAGAGAGAGAGAGAGAGAGAGAGAGAGAGAGAGAGAGAGAGAGAGAGAGAGAGAGAGAAGAGGAATGGTGGAGAAAGGAGGACAAAACAGACGAGAAAGACAAGGAGGTAGGGAAGGGAGGAGGAGAAAGGAGAAGGGAGGGAGAGAGAGAGAGAGGGAGGGAGGGAGGGAGGGAGGGAGGGAGAGAGGGAGGAGGAGAGAGAGAGAAGGTTAGAGGGACAAAGGTGGAGAAGAGGCGGAGGAACAAACCTAAGAGGGGGTCAATGACCCTAAACCAAGAGAAAGGATGGAGACAAGATGTTCTCCCTGATCATGGACGTACCTCCAATGCCTCATCATAATCTGTGATTGCCTTTTTAATAGCTTCATTGTCACGGGCAATGCGTGCATCTTGAATTACTTTTGTTAATCTACGCAGGATGTCTACATGTCTCGTTGCCAGCTCATCGTACTTCCTATAGGCCTCCTGTGTGTGAGTATATCACCATAACAACAGAAGAAGATAAAGAAAAGAATCAATTTGTGAGCGCGAGAGACAGAGGGGCAAGGTGCATCTCATATTTCAACTCCAAAGAAGAAACTCTTCAAGGGTCAGATTTTCTATATTCCCTTCCCTTTTTTTGCATTCCTCCTCTCCATCCCTCCCTTCCTCCTCTCCCTCCTCTCCCTCCTTTCCCTCCTCTCCCTCCTCTCCCTCCTCTCCCTCCTCTCCCTCCTCTCCCTCCTTTCCCTCCTCCGCCCCTTCTCTCCCTTCCCCCCTCCCTCCTCTCCCATCTTGCCCTGTGATCAGATTTTCTATATTCCCTTACTTCCCCTTTTTTTTCATTCCTCCTCTCTCCTCTCCCTCCTCTCCCTCCTCCCCCTCCTCTCCCTCCTCTCCTTTTCCCTGTCCCTCCTCTCCCATCTCTCCCTCCCTTCCCCTGTCCCTCCTCTCCCATCTCTCCCTCCCTTCCCTTGTCCCTCCTCTCCCATCTCTCCCTCCCTTCCCCTGTCCCTCCTCTCCCATCTCTCCCTCCCTTCCCCTGTCCCTCCTCTCTCATCTCTCCCTCCCTTCCCCTGTCCCTCCTCTCCCATCTCTCCCTGTGATCGATCATTGATTTTCTATGCAACCTAATTGCTCAGATGAATGCAACTCTCAAACAAAGAAAAGGAAAAAAAAATTATCCCAGCTACCCAAGCTCCTGGTTTATGGACCATGGTTCTTAAAATACCCCGGTCCATGGTCCATGGGCCATGCTCCAGCACCATGGACCTTGGTCTAGCTAGCATCATGGGCCATTGTTCATGGTCTAGGGTCCATGGGCTGGACCACAGTTCATGATGCAGGACCCTGGTCTGCGATGCCGGAACATAGTCTGGACCATGGACTATGGTCCAGCATCCCGGACCATGGTTGCTGTGTACCCTGCTCCATGGACCATGGTCCACAATCATGCACCACCAAAGCTAAATACCCTTGTCCATGGACCAGCATCATGGACCATGGTTGCTAAATACCCTTGTCAATGGACCATGGTCCAGCACCATGGACCACAGTCCAGCATCATGGACTCTTAAGAGTCTTAACCCTTCAGCCACTGCCATTCTTCGCCCAACCTCTCCCTGCGGCCATTTCCACTTCCCTCTTCCAGGGATAGCCCACTTCCTGATGGTGCTTGCCAATTTTTCTTTCCCCCGGAATCCCACTCTGGGTTTGGAAGCTTTGGCTTCTGTTTCTGGTATTCCATCTATACAATGGCTTTCCATACACACCTTTTTTGAAGTTTTTTGGAAAATTTTCCTTTTTTCCTTTTTTTCATTTCCCCCCCTTCCTTCCTGTCATTTCTGTCCCTGCTCAACTGATGCAAACTATCACACTAATGGTTAACGGGAGAGGAGGGAGAGGAGGGAGAGGAGGGTGAGGGAGAGGACCGAGAAGATGGAGAGGATGGAGAGGATGGAGAGGATGGAGAGGAAGAGGAGGGAGAGGAGGGAGAGGAGGGAGAGGGGGGAGAAGGGGGAGAGGAGGGAGAGGAGGGAGAGCAGGGAGAAGAGGGAGAAGAGGGAGAAGAGGGAGGGCAAAACACAAAACCAAAGGCCAAGACATGGAAGGCGAGCGGAAAGGAAAACAATCGAACGGACATGGCTTTGGGTTTAGTCTTCATGGTCTACAGTTTACAATCTGAAGTTCGGGATTTCGCGTTCAGGGAGGGATGGGGGGAGGAAGGGAGGGAGGAAGGAAGGAGAGAGGGAGGGAGGAAGGAAGAAAGAGGGAGGGAGGGAGGGATGAGAGGGGAAAATGAAAGGGGGGGGAAACGCTGGTGTTTGTGCACTGCAAGACAGAAGAGTTAACCAAGGAAAGAGAGACCGACGAGCAAAGGAGATGGAGAGGGAGGGCAAGGGAGGGCTGGGAAAATGACCTCAGGAGACGTCTGCCTCAGTATTGTTGCATCCAAATACTCGTACAAATCCTGCATCATCCGTTTCCAAAATTTGAGTTTGATGAACCTCGATCAGGGCAGGTCCCAACTGCAAAGTCGCAAACTTTTTAAAAAGGCAAAAATAATGCAGGTTGTGTTTCCTCTTGTGAGTCAGAAAAAATGGAGTCAAAAACAGAGGAAAAAACGGAAAAAAAAAACAAAAAAAACAAAAAACACAGAAGAAGAATGCGAGGAAGAGCTAAAACCCCTGGGCAGTCCTGTTAGGGACATCCGTTAAAAAAATGGAACGATACAGAGAAGCTTGCATGGGCCCTGCGCAAAACAACGACAACAACAACACTGGTCATGGGAGGTTTCCACCCTGCAAAATCTAATTACATGGGGGAATTGGGGGGTTATTAACTTATTATATACTGACGTCTTGAAGGGTGAGGGAAACCTAGGCATCAGCACATAAACCCCTGAACAGAGGGATTTTACACCGGGGATTTGATTTTTGGGACTTGGGTGTTTTCTGCTTCGAGCCCTGTGTTCTACCTTTCAGGGCATTTGTAACAGTTCACGGGCTCAACGGTCATTGGCCGCCATTCAACTACCTTCTTCACCCCAATACAACGTACTGTCATTATTGCTGTATTTAGACTGAAAGATACCCCAAATACATCCAGTTATAATCACCGTACAATGCGTACATTGTATTCGGGTGAAGAAGGCCCGTACCACAGACTAAGAGATACTGAGCATAGATAACAAAGATCAAATCATCAAAGGTCAGTATCACTTTTTTATATCAAACCGCCAGTTCACCTGAAGCAGAGTACAGCTCTTACGGGTTTATGCGGTGAGAGATTTTGGATGCGGGCCTGTGCTGGCAGCAAAAGCGCCAGGTCACATTGAAAAGGCACAGTTGCAGGCTCGCCAGCCTTGGAAGGTAACTTCATCAACTTAGGCTTGTGTGAACTGGTGGCGTTAGATATCTTCTCTGGGGGGGGAGGAGGGGGGGGGGGTTCCATATCGATGCTGGGGATCGTCAATCTGGCTCCTACTCCACTGACAATTCAAAAATACCAACTCACACACACCCATCACCTCCCCGAGTTACGGCCCAGGGATCCCCCGACAGCATTGATTCCTTTTCTCAAGAAGGAGATTGACCGACCATTGAGCCCCGCCCCCCCAAGAACGGTCAGTAATCACTTAGTGTGTCTTTTTTTTTTTTTCTCTTTCTCTTTTTTTTAAGACCAATCCATCCCTACTAGGAGAGATCATATGAGCCAACCCTCCTAGTACGACAGCTTGTGGCCAATCCTTCTATTAGTGGGGAGGATCACCTGCTGGAAAACGGGTCCACCATCCCATATGAACAGAATAGGAATATAAGATGTCATGACATGGACCGAGTTTTGGTCTGCAAAAAGGCTGCAAACCTCTCTTTTGCAAGGAAAATGAGCAATAACGAGATGACAATATCCAGAATGCACAATCACATTGAAGGCCAGATGGTATCTCAGTGTCCAGAAAGCAGAATTGCAACAATATAACACCAATGAAGAATCGTAACACTGAAAACCAATTTCAATGAGAGTTCGTGCCTGCGCAAGACCGGGACCGATAATCAGACCAGGTCCAGAATCGATCTGATCCTACTTTCAGAGGATCTGGCAGGGGCTATGCTGCTTGCAGCAATACTACCGGCTAGCCCCTATCCAGGACTCGATCACAAGATGTGCACAATAGCCTTGTCATTCAGAAAGAAGCCTGATCATGGACCTGGGTTCTACAAACTCAACGTTTCGATCTTACGGCACGAAGCTTTCCGACACTATATCAAAGACTGCTGGACATTTTGGCACACACAGAAGCAACGTCCCACAAGGAATAGAATGGTTCAATAATGGGCTTTTTTTCCTAGGAAAGAAATGTCAAGAGTACTCTAAACAATTAGCAGCCAGAAACCATCAGCAGGAAATGAACATCCACTTACAACTTCATCAACTTGAGCAACAGGATAACAACCCACAACAGGAAAATAGCCAGCACRCWCAACCGGAGGAACACTCAGAGACACAATCGGACAAACACTCAGAGACACAAATCTTACAACAGCGCCTCCAAACCTTTGCCGCACAACGTTGGGAAGGTATTCGTATCAGAGGGCGACTAACATGGCACCAAAAGGAAGGCTCTATGGACAAAAAGTTTTTTAGTCTGGCTCGGGCGCGCATGCGCAGAACAACGATAGAAGCGCTCTATGACCCACATTCAACACCCAGGGATGTGGTCTGTTCTACACCCCAATGTATGCGGATAGCAAGGTCCTTTTTCAAGGACCTATTCACGTCTAGGTGTGCGCATTAGGAGAAGACTGTCAGAGAAAAGGAAATTGAGGAATTCCTAGAACCACTGTGTAAAGCTCTTTCGTACCAGCAAAGGATAGAACTGGATCGGCCGCTGTCCAAGGAAGAAATTTGGACTGCAATGATGCAGAGAGAATGAAAAAAACCCGGGTGCGGATGGGCTTCCCAAGGAATTTTGGGAAACCTTTTGGACCCAGATGGCCCCAGACCTCATGGATTTCTATAACTTGGTGTGGGAGACCGGAAACATGGGGGAGCTGGTGGGACAAGGGGTTCTCACGTTGCTGCATAAAAAAGGGGATAGGATGGATATTAGAAACTACCGGCCGATWACACTGCTCACAGTCGTRTACAAGATGCTTGCAAAAGCCCTGGCGAACCGGTTGATTCCGGTGCTGGATCAGATTATCCACCCGTCCCAGACAGGTTTCGTCAAGGGTCGCAGRATTCAGGACAACATTCTCCTGGTGAACGAACTGCTCAAGCTAACCAGACAAGATAAGCAAAATGCGGCGGTGGTCTTCATAGACTTTGAGAAGGCCTATGACCACGTGGACTGGCTGTTTCTGGACCGATGCATGGAAAAAATGAATATAGGCCCAGTCTTTCGCCGTTGGACTGAGATCCTGCACCAGAATGCCACCACGAGCGTCCAAATCAATGGCAGACTGGCACCGGTATTTCCTCTACAATGGTCGGTCCGCCAGGGAGATCCCCTGGCCCTGTTCCTGTTTATAATAGTAATGGAAGCACTGGCAGCAAACCTCCGTGCTAATAAAAATCTAAAGAAGCTGCAGGTCTCAGTCATTCCGGAAGAAGCTACTCCTGTCAGTTCGATGTTTGCTGATGACTTGACACTCATGATGGATGCTACCAGTGAGAACATGGAAGAGATCAGACGACTGTTTAATAAATTCATGACGGTTTCGGACATGACGGTGAACTGGGGCAACAAAACCCTTGGGTGGTGGATACACCACCAAGGGGCGCGCCCCCCCGAGCTGCCGCAGGTTAGATGGCTCCCGGAAACGGCCCCGGTCAAAGTCTTAGGAATAATGTTGATGGCAACAGGGAAACCGGCGTCGAATGATGAGTGGATTCTTAAACCGGCCCTGGAGAAGCTGGCGCGTTGGAATGACAAAAATACCTCCTTAATCGGTAGGGCCTTAGTGATCAACAATGTGGTGCTGGCCGCTCTTTGGTACAAATCTGCAATATGGGCACTTAGCAAAGAAGCGATACGGTCCCTCAAACGACAAATAACGGCATTACTGTGGAGGGGTAACAGCGAACTTACCAATGTTATACATAGAGTAGCCTGGACGTCGGTGATCCAACCCAAGGACAGAGGGGGCTTGGGTATTCTGGACCCAGACACTCAGGTCACAGCGCTAATGATGCAATGGATCAAACGTCTGGTGTTCACCTGCGACCTCCCATGGCATGCCCTGGCGCTGGAACAGATTGCCCGACTCGCCCTGCCAGCTCCTCGAACAATAAACCCTTTGTCTTGGTTGGAAGACCGCTTTTGGACCTTGCCTAGACGCCCCCCTGCGGTCCAGGACCCAAACAGGGATACAGCCCGCAGCGATCTTGTTAAGGACGATTTTTGGATCCGCTGCCTGAAAGCCTGGCGTCAACTTCCGTTGCCAGACAAAACTGGGCCAACCCGATGGGAGGAGGTGGCTCGACAACCCCTGTTCGGGAACCGAAGTATCACAGATCGACACGGAAGGGTCTATCGCAGCTCCGACCCCCCGTGGAACAGCTGGGTCAAAAGGGGTATAACCAGAATTAAGGACATCTGGGACTCCGAGAGCAAAAGCTGGAAGACAGGGCCCCAGATGAGGCCGCTGCTGAAGCACTGCCATGATATAGAAGGCCACCTGGAGGCGTTGATTTTCGCGGTTCCCCTGGAGTGGGTGCGCATTTTACGGAAAGGCCCAAAGCTGATGGACGGGGACTGGGTGGCGGTCCCCGACGATTCAAAGAGTGTGGGAAATGTAGTGATAACGCACACAGAGGAAACGCTGGTTAATCTCTTCCACAAAGAAAACGATAATAAATTAACCAAGTACACCCCGGACGTAACAAGATGGTATCGGAATGCAGATCTATATAGGATCCGRGTTCTACAGGATAAGKAGGCTTGCATAGTATACCAGCYWGGGMCCGGCATTRTGGATCTCCCCCTTGMCCCGGAGGAGTGGCARTGGTCCCCCGTGCGCAGAACCTTACAGGCACGGAATGTGAACYTCCAAAACCTGACAGTAAAAGCCACCTATCGTTTATTGCGCCCTAAGGTGAATCTGAAGGATATCRTTAAAAATCGGTGGAGATCCCAGCTGAATGTCGGGATTGATSCCATCCGCCCCATTCGGTGGTTCTCCCTCACAAGGGCCAAGCCAGCGAAGCTAGCCTCACTACAGTGGCAGATAGAGCATCGCTGTCTCCCTACTAACGACTGGCTAATAGATCGCACCTATCTGGAACAAAAAGGTCTGGCACTCCCGTGGTGCAAATCGTGCCACGCGGCATTCCCTTCTCGGAAGATCCCAGAAACCATCGAACACATTTTCCTGCAATGTCCGGGGTCAGTTCTCACATGGCGATGGTGGGACAGGATTTGGAGGATGCTGGGCACCGGTACAGACTGGCCCATGGGACTGGAGGACGATCCTGTGTGAGACACGGACCGCCACTGCATCCAGTACCTTTGAAGAGAATATGTTTAAAATAGGAAGGCGGGGGGTTATGTGGGCGATCTGGAGGAGGCGTTGCATACATGTTATGGAGGGAGTCCGCATAGCCGGGGAGGAGATGACGGATATGATCAAACAATTCATACACCAAGAACTTATGACACAATGGCAGAAGGTAAAAAGTGTGCTGGATCCATGCCAGACCAAAAAAGAAACAGAACAGAAAATCCGACAATTTTCAAGGGACTGGCTGGGCGGCACAGACGGAGGCCGAATTGCTTTCATCAAATGGGATGGGGGCCAAACTCCGGGAAACGCAGCAGGCAATCATGACGGCGACCGGGAGCTGTTCACTAAAGATTATAAGATTTGTTTTAGGGACTGGACAGCGGTGGGCCAAGAGATTCCGTTACGGCCACCGTCGGATTTTCCCGACCCCTTCCCTCCCCATCAGTTGGTGATAGTAGACATGCAGTGGTATGGGGCAGAATGAGCTCCGCAATGATGGCAGAACTTTCTTGACATGTCTGTTTTATACAAGGGATGCTGGACCCGGTTTCCAGCAGGAGTTGCGGTTTACGACTTGGACGTAGGGGGAGCTAGGAAGAGAGAGCAGATATCTGGCACCCCCCCCCCCATGCGACCTCCTGCTCAGTTAATCCCCTGGTCTCCAGGGTAATCAATGCTGGCAGGATCATACCATGCTTTCTCAGGAGATTTGTACTCTGTCGATGTAAGGGACGCTGGACCCGGTTTCCAGCAGGTGTTGCTCCCCACCAATAGATGGAGTCCCCCCGGGCGCTAGCGGTGTCTGCTCGTATCAGCACCGCTAGCACCGACGGGGGTTTTCAAAAAAAAAAAGAAAAAAAAAAGTCAATGAGAGCTTGCTCTCGCCACCACCAACATGAGTGTCCAGGTCCTTCTCCCTACTTGGCGCTCGGCGCTCAGCCTACCTCCTACACAACTACTGTCTGCCTACTAATTGACAATGCAACTGTTGACGTCAGCAGCCCACGAAGTACTTGAAGATGTCGCCCATGCAGACCATCGCCAATACCAGGTATGTGCCCTCACATCATCATCATCATCATCATCATCATCATCATCATCATCATCATCATCATCCTGCTCTCTCTCCCCTGACTTACACCCACGTCTTCCCTCTGTACACCCAAAGACAACCCCCTGCGCCTCAATGTATGTCCAAGCCCACAGTCAGCTATGGAGGCTGGGATATGGCGCTGCCCTCAGCAGCGCCCTGCTTCACCACACGACCGCACGTGTGCAGCCTCTTGCTCCAGCGCTAGCAGCCAGCACGCGAGCGATTGCTCCAGCAGCGCTGCCGCCAGCCAGCAAGTGCCTGAATGAGAGCCCAGGCAGTGAGCTCTTTCCTATATGGAAAGAGCCTGCCTCCTCCGGTGGCCTGGCTGGCCTGGGCCTCTGCCCAGAAGCTTCCGGTAGGCCCCAGGAGGCTGTGCCTCCGATGCAGCTGCTGGGCCTCGTTCGGTTGGGCCTCCCAACTGTCTGTGTATGAGGCTGTGATTCTTGCTCAGGGCCTGCATTTTCAGGAAAGGCCTGGAATCTCTTTGCTGCTCGGCCTGTGTTTCCCTCAACCAACTGGCGCGTCACAACTGCCTGGACCCCAAATACGAAATTGACAGCAGAGGGCCTCTCACGATTTGTTAGGCCCGCCTTCACTTAGGGCGGGCACTTCTGTAACAGGGCCCCTTAGGCCTGTCGGGGACCCAATTCCTCGCACTTTTAAAGTTCAAAGTAAAAAAAAAAAAAAAAAAACAACAACAACAACAACAACAACAACAACGACAAAACTTCAAAAACTATACCTCTTCGACTGACAGGATGTGAGGCCCGTGAGACTGCTAGAACGGCCCCCCCGGGCCAGGCCTTCCCTGGGGACCCATCTGTTGTGTGGCTGGGTGCTGCTAGGACGCCTCCCGACCAACAGAGGTATCCCTGGGGAGACTATGGTATGGGAAGAGGGATCAGTTGTAGCAATCCCCCCCTTGTTAGGCGTCTAGGGCCACAAGGGTAAGGCTTTCCTCTTTTCCTACAAATAATTTGTACTTCGGAACTCATGCTTGCCGGTGATAAGCAACCAGACTGATGCCCCCCAGAATAGAAGGGGCTGACTTGTTTTGAAACAAAAACTATACCTCTTCGCCCACGTGCTGGGCGCCAATTACTCAGTTAATGTCTTAACTTTCTGTCCTACTGGAATCTCAGCCTTTGAATCGACAGCTGCACCGAAGAAGAACTGGCTCAACTTTTCATTGTGAATTTGCACTTTGGGAATGACCAGGATCGTAACACAAATAGGTTTTCTGAGGGGAACAAGATGAACCCACAGCTTGCCATAGCTTGCCTTAGGCAATGTAGACACTCATGCGAGAGGAGAAGCTATACCACTCCAAGCAGTTTGAAACACACAAGGCTACGATTTGATAACTGAGGTATAGCTACCGGCGGAAGAAAGGTAATCTTGCAGACAAAGCGTATGGAAGGCAGCGCTACTCCCAGAATGAGAAAACTGTGTGAATTTGCTCAGAAGAGTGATGAGAGAGTCACATCCAACGGCTGCGATTGTGACATCCTGACTGTAGTGGTTTATCCGCCTCATCCGTGGAAGGTCACAAGTTCAAATCATGGCGATTGAACTTCGATAGCTCAATGGTTTATATGCCTCGTTGGTGGAAGGTCACAAGTTCGAATCCTAGTGATTGAAATTTGACAGCTCAGTGGTTTATCCGCGTCGTTGGTGGAATGTCACAAGTTTGAATCTGAGTGATTGAACTCGTTGGTGGAAGGTCACCAGCTCGAATCCTAGTGATCGAACTTCAACCGCTTGACTACGTAACTGTAGAATCCGCTTAGCACCAATTGATCGACCTTCGGTAGGATCCGCTTGGCACCGGTTGATCGACCCTCCACGCGTACTAACTTGGGAACGATTTTCAGCTCCAGTGATCCAGACTCGTGGGCACTGTCGTCCTCGATCGTTTGAACGAGTTGAGTCAGCTTACACCACTCAAGAAAACTTAATCCTGAAGCCTAAACCTAAGACCCCGAACACTAAATCCAAGACCCCTAAACCCTAAACCCTAAACCTTAAAATCCTGAAATCCTAAAACCCTAGATCGTTCGATTGAGTCGATCTGCTTAAATGAGTCAAGGAAACTTAACCCTAAAGCCTATACCCTATTCCTAATCTGTAAAACCTAAGACCCTGAACAATAAATCCAAAAACCCTTAACCCTAAACCTTAAAATCCTAAATCCTAAAACCCTAAACCCTGCGACCCTCGATCGTTTGATCGAGCTGAGACTGGCTACATTGCATCGAGAAAAAATTGACAACCCCCCTTAACCCTAACAAACCCTAAAGGGCTTAAACCCTAAAACACCCTAAACCGAAGATCCCAAATCGTTCTTAGCAACATGTGTTAAAATTGGCATGAAAAAAAATAAAAATAAATAAATAAATAATTAAAAAAAAAAGAATGATACAGAGAACATTAGCATGGTGCTTTAGGGAAATAAGAAAAAGCCCTCAACCCTAAGACCCTAAACCCTAAAACCCTTCATCATAAAACCAGAAACTGTAAAACGTAAACCATAAACCCTACGCCCTACAACGTAAACCCTAAACCCTAAAATATAAACCCTAAAATAAAACCATCAATCCAAATTGATTCCAAAAAATCTGAAGCCAAAACTTGAAACCCTAAATCGACAATCCATGATGTGGTGGGGTGATGCGTTCCGCAAGGCACTACACTGTGCACTTGATTTGAGTTTGGGTTTCTTTTTCTGGATTCTTTCTCTGGACGAAATCTTTTTTGCAGAGGACGAACAGCAAAAAAAAAAAAAAAAAAGGTCCAAGGGAGCTGAGAGAATGTGATAACCCAACACCCCCCCACCCCCAAAAAAAAAGAAAAAAAGAGAATGTGATTGTCTTGTCTGTTCCTATTGCTGTACCGGTGCGGAATGTTCAAGGGGGAAAATTTTCAAAAAAACAAAACAAAAATAACACAAATTTGAATTAGCTCCAAGAAATGTTTATATGAGAAGAGGGAAAAACCTCCAAAAAACTCAGTGTTTAGGGTACCTCACCTGTGAGAGATTTTGATATGTGAGATGAGTGTTCTCAGCCATAACGTCAGCTGCCAGATCGTAGAAACCATGTGAAGGTTTGCAGTAGAGTAGAAGAAGATTGCCAAACGTCTCAGGTGGAAACGGCGGGCTCTGCAACAAAACCACAAGCAGCAGGCATAAAAATTTAAAAAATCAGAACAAAGGGAAAAAATAAAATAAAATACAGTAAAATAAATTAATATTATAATTTATAAATAATTAAATATTAAAATTTATAATGGTTAATTTGAAGTGATATGATGTGTCACAGTGTGAGGCTTTAATCTCAACAACGAGGAGGAGGAGCCTGGAGGAGCCTGGAGAACAGAATCAAAGAACTCAGACCAACTGCCTTCATACTCCTTCTCCCATTCTCCCTCCCCCTTCATCCGATTTTCAGCAAAATATATATATATATATTGGTTATACATGATTACCTCCTCCTTCCATATTGTTACTCCTTCTGCACATTCATTCCACATAAAACTCTATCCATCTGTCTGATGAGGATCTCAGATCTCTACACCAACAATTTGAGCGCTCATTTTTCAATGATTTTGTCCTTTACAGTGTTTACACTTGTTTCAACTGCTTGTTGTTAATTTGGAAGTTATAACTTATAAGTTATAACTTATAACTTATAAGTTATAACAATACTTTCCCTTGGTCAAAAAAAAAAAAAAAAAAAAAAAAAAAAACCAATACTTTTCCTTTCAGCCTCCTGTATCCCTTGCCGTTTCTCCCCTTCTGTTTCCCTGAGCTCCTGTTCCATACTTGCCGGTGATAAGTAACCGGACTACCGGCCCCCAGAATAGATGGGACTCTCGTCTTTTGGAAAAGGAAGGGAGGAGGGGGGGAAGGAAACAAAAACTTTTCCTTTCTTGATTCATCTGTCCTCGTGGACAAAAATGCTCCAAACTGCAGGATTGCCCCAACTGAAGGGAGGGGAGTGGGCAGCCCCCGTCGGGGACAAAAACGAACAAACGAGCATCCATCGAGAAAACTTAAAAAAAGGAACAAATGAGCATCCGCCAAGCCGAGGACAAAAACGAATGAACGCGCCGGGCATCCACAGAGGAATTCGTCAGCCCTTCGCCGAGAAACAAATGAACTTCTCTTCATGCAGAAATGTCACCCATGAAGAAAAGTTGAAAAGTCAAATGGTTTTGCGGCAACAATTTTGCCGAAGTTTTATGGTCAAACTTAAACTTCCACTGTATGGTAAAAACTTACTAAGAAGCCAGTGTGCAAAAGGATTATGGTTGGTTTCACCAAAGTTTAAAACTCTTTTATTGGGGAAGGGGGTGGGGATTGGGGGGGGGGGGGGGAAGGAGGGGCGGTTGCACTTAACGTTCACCAAAGTACTATGAAGAAAAAGGGCCAAAGCCGCCAAACTTTAAAAAATTCCACCAAATTTTAATTAATATACTTTCACTCCCCTTTATGTGTGTCCGCTTGCTTGGTTTGAAATCCTGGTCAAGATGTGGTGCAGTGAGTGTGCTGAGAATCGTCAGTGGTTTTTTTGCTTTGTCGTGATTTGTCTAGATAAATGCCCAACTTTTAGCAATTTCGTACGAAAATACCCCTCAAAAAGACCCCTTTATCTGGAATGCCTCTTGATTTTCATACGGTTTACATTGTTGACACTTCAATGTGTTTCCTATGAAGATCTCTCTCTCTCTCTCTCTCTCTCTCTCTCTCTCTCTCTCTCTCTCTCTCTCTCTCTCTCTCTCTCT